GGGCTGGCAGGCCGGCTGGCTAGCAGGCCGGTGGGCGGGCAGGGGGCGAAGCGTCATGACCGGCGCGGCGACACGCTCCCATCCCCTAACAGCCTGTCCCAGGCGGCCGATCAGCTGTTTTTGGTCTTTTTTAACATATTCGACACCGCCTCTCTCGCTCCCCCAGCGCCCCCCCGGGCCCGGGCAGGGGTGGGGACCTTTCTTATACCCAGTGACATTTTTGGTCTGCGTAAGTTATGACCTCGGGCCCGTGGGCTCTCGTAATAGTCGATAAACGGTGAAAAAGTGGAAAAAATTGAGTGATTTTCGCCCAAAAAAAATTCAGTTTTTCAAGTCTTGGCACATTAGAGGGGTGACCCACGCCCCCTCGTGGCTCAGAGTGTCGATTTTTATGCTACTGAAGACAACTCAACGGTCACCTACCTTGGCCGACGACGTGGAGGCTGTCCGGGAGCCTTAACACAGTAAAAACATGAAAAACACCGCTTTTTTGCATAAAACGGCCGGTAGGGTCATCAAAGCTTTGTCTGATCGCAAAACCGAGGACAGATCTGAAATCAGCATTAAAAAACGCAACTTTTGAGTGCTATTCCGTTGTCAAAATCGAAAAGTCGCAAATGTCGACGGCCCCTATGTTTACTGGATTCACGTCACACACTCAACATCTTATGATCGTTTTTATACGTATTACGATGGTTTTTCATCGTAAGGTACGCATAAATTTGAACATACATAATATGCTTAATTTTCCATCGTATTACGCATGAATTTCATCGTATTACGCATGTATATCAACGTATTACGCATGAATTTCATCGTATTATGCATGAATTTTATTGTAGTACGTATGTTCTTATTTCAACGTATGTTACGATGGCCCTTTCATCATAAGAATCTGAGGGTGCACCCCGCGAAAGGTGATGAGTAAATCTGCGAAGGAACCTGTTTCTAACTGTGCTCTTACCCCGTGCCAACTGTAGCCGTAAACAACGCTCCCCTCATTGGCCACAAGCTGCTGCCAAAAAATGTTCCCTCCTGGAAAAGGGGGCATTATTTGCGCCACTTCGAGGAGGAGTTGGCATCCCTGTGCATTATCGAGTTGATTCTGCATTACGAAGGAGCCCCACGAAAGCGTGAATCACTCCGGAAAAGAAGACGAGACGCACAATGTTAACTTGAGAAAAGTGCACCTACTGGGAAAAGATGAATAAACCTAGGCTGTGCTAGCGGACACAACTTCCTCTGACGTAGAGCAAAGCCATCTCATGTTTACTGGATTCACGTCACCCCGCGAAAGGTGATGAGTAAATCTGCGAAGGAACCTGTTTCTAAACTGTGCTCTTACCCCGTGCCAACTGTAGCCGTAAACAACGCTCCCCTCATTGGCCACAAGCTGCTGCCAAAAAATGTTCCCTCCTGGAAAAGGGGGCATTATTTGCGCCACTTCGATGAGGAGTTGGCATCCCTGTGCATTATCGAGTTGATTCTGCATTACGAAGGAGCCCCACGAAAGCGTGAATCACTCCGGAAAAGAAGACGAGACGCACAATGTTAACTTGAGAAAAGTGCACCTACTGGGAAAAGATGAATAAACCTAGGCTGTGCTAGCGGACACAACTTCACCACGAAGCCTCGGTTTTTAATATTTGTACCATGCATATCGACCAAAAGTTGCAGTTTTGTTTTAAAATGGCATCGAATTATGATGCGCGTGCATTCGGACAAATCTGTCGGTAGCGTTCGTGAAAACCCGGTTGAAAAACTAATTCTATTTAGGAAAAATGCCAAAAATCGTCAAATATTTGAATTTGTTAGCCAAAGCGACCACACACTTGTAAAGTTGTCTTACAGGTGGACAGAATAGGGTGCCGTGAGATGCTTTTCGATGCCGTTTCAAGAATAGACTATTCTAGTCGTGGCTGAGTGAAGAACAAGAAGAATCACAAAAGTGTACTTTTTTGCACTTTTACTTCAAATGCTTAACACTGTTAAAAATAGTTGTTTTAAAACAACAACACAGTTACCAACCTCGACAACGCTGTTGTTTGTGAACAAGTTTGCTTGTTTTGAAACGACGAATTCGTTGCTAATTATTTTAATGACTTATGCTGTTTCAATACAATATTTTGCTGCGTACAAACAACCCTGACAATCTAAGAAGTGGTTACTGCGGGGTAACCGGGACTCTACTAGGTCTGTGACCTAATCGGCAATAAAAATTGATGCAAATAAGGCTGTCAATCGGTTTACAAACATCTTGTGGACTAACAACGCAACTCGTTAGTAAACAACAAAAGTCATTTGAAAACAACTTTGATCGCTAAGAAAATTAGCAACATATTTACTTCTAAATTACAACATAATTTTTAACAGTGAAGTCCCCTTGCTTGGTAGAAGTTAATTCACATATTTTCTAGTAAATGCAACATATTTCATCAAATATATTCACTTTAAATGCCCTAAATAGCGTCTTTTGTGATTCTTCTTGTTCTTCACTCAGCCACGACTAGAATAGTCTATTGGCTCGTAGGATCCGTTGGAATACCCCACTTAAATGCGCGAAATCACTTAAAAAATCCCCCTTGCGGAAGTTTGAACCGCGGCAGGCAGAATTTTCTAGCACAATCAAATTAAACCCGCTATCGCGTTGAGCACTTCTCGTTCACTGGTCATACCTTGAAAAAGGTTGCCTGAGGTAAGCAAGGAGCGCTGCAGGCCAAGGCAGAAGTTAAGGACAGGCGTGGATTGCAAAAAACTGGCGCACCATTGAAAGCCTGTTACGACAGTGCACTGTCTAGCGAATACCTAATGAAAGAGTCACCACCATCGCCCTTTCTTTGGCTAACGCACGCACCGTTGCCCAAGTTTGGGTGACGAGCCCGTGGTGACCAAATTTTGGGCAGACATAAAATCGTCGCCCAAATTTGGGTTACGCCGTCGGTGACGCCGTAGGCTCCCCGATGACGGTCTCCCGGGGCCACCACGATGACCCAATGTGGCGTTTAGGCCCCCGGTCATCGTGGTGGCCCCGGAAGGACGCCATCGGGAAGCTCACAGCGTCGCCGACGGCGTTACCCAAATTTGGGCGACTAAAGGCCTGTAACCCAATTTCGGCTGATGAATTTTTTGTCACTAAAATTAAGTTAGGCGTGGTGGATCGTCGAAACTGGCGCAGCATCGTGAAGCCTGTTAC